TATTTTAAATTAAAAAAAGGATGATTATTAATTATTATAAAAATCATTATTTGTTGATAACTAAAAAAATCCATCACTAAATACATATTACTGACTATTTCCAAAAATCCGTTAGTAAGTAAGTATTTTATTATTTTTTAAAAATTTGAATTATTATTTGATTAAGAGAATTTATTTATTTATATAATATACCCACCCTTTATTTATATTTTCTATTATTTATTATATTTTAAAAAAATATGAATTATAATTAATTAGAATGAAAGAATAACTTGACTTTTTCAATGTCCATATTCTTATCAAAATTTGGCCCATTCTAAATATGAGTTGTAGTTGGTCCTATTAATTTTAAGGTCACTTCACTCTTCCAAAATATGTCTTATATAACTTTTACACATTAATTTTAATGTCAACACAGTAGTTATTATACAACTAAATAATACATACTGATATTATTCATAATTTATTTAAAACTAACTTCTGATCACTTATATTTATTTGAGTTTTATTTAGTTTTAAAAAAAATTATAATTTTTTTAAGATTGCAATGTTATTAAAAATAATTCTTCCCTCGATTTCACACTAACCTTATTTTAAATATAAAAAATGATGATTATTAATTATTATAAAAAGTAAAATGATATGATCATTATTCATCGATAACAAAGAAAATCCATCAAGTAAATACATATTATTGACGGTTTCCAAAAATCCGTTGGTAAATAATTATTTTATTATTTTAAAAAAATTTGAATTATTATTCGATTAATAGAATTTATTTATTTATATAATATACCCACCCTTTATTTATATTTTCTATTATTTATTATATTTTTTAAAAATATGACGGTTTCCAAAAATTCGTTGGTAAGTAAGTATTTTATTATTTTTTAAAAGTTTGAATTATTATCGATTAAGAGAATTTATATATTTATATTTTCTATTATTTATTATATGAATTATAAGTATTTATACCTAGAATTCAAACCCACTATCTTAGTGTTAAAGGTTGATACTCTAATTACTAAACTACTAAGAATTTCGATAATAATTTACAAATAAATCATATTTATATACAAATAAATGTATATCCGTGTAAATATATAAATAAAAATATATTTATATATTTTGATATACTTATATATATTTATATAGTTATATATTTATTATATGTTGGATGTGAGGGAACGCTCGGGGTGAAAGTGTGTGTTGAGTGAGTTTTCAAAATTTGATGCTAAATTTATGAGCGAGTCTCTTTATATGGGTTTGTAATTTAATGACAGTAATATAATATTTATAATTTATTTATATAATAACATAAAATAATTTTTTTTTAATTTTAATTTATTCTTTTTATCTCTTTTTTCTTCTTCTAGTATTTAATTAAAAATTTTATATTAAAATAACTTTTTCAATATTAAAAATACTTAAATATTTATTTTTGAAATGATTTAATTTAACAAATTATTATAAATTAATCTAATTATGATTAAATTAAATTATTAAATAAAAAAAATATTTAATTTTTTAATTAGGTGAATAATTAATTTATTATAATATATTTATAATTAAGTAATTATTATATAATTTTAAATATTTATTTTCTTAATTTAATGTTAATTTTTAAAAATATACTTTAAATTTAAATTTGTCGGTAATGTCTATCGATAACTAATTGTTAATTTACCGATATATCCGTAGATAACTAATTGTTCATTTATCAAAATTATTAATTTATCAACGGATATATTCGTCAATAATTAATTGTTCATTTATCGATAAATTTATTTATCGACGGATTTACCAATTGATATATCCGTCGGTAATTAATTGTTCATTTATTAATAATTTATCGATAAATATATCCGTAGGTAATTAATTGTTCATTTACCGATAAATATATTTGTCAGTAAAACTAAATTTCATAACTACTTTAAATCCGTCAGTAATTTTTATTGGTAATCACTTATTTTTTGTCGACTACATGTTCCTGAGTAATTAATAATTTTTTTTAGTTTGATGATACCAAACTCTCTAATAGGGTGGAGGAAAAATAAAGAAAAAATAAAAGTTTTTTTTTATATTTTTCTTCCTTCTTCACAAAGTGTATTCTTCCACTCCTATTTCAGTGTCTCAATTTCGAGTCTCCATGAGTAACAAAGATGAAAAAAATGTTGTTAACATTTTAATTGGTTTCATTTACGAAAATACTTTCAGGATTAATGTGAATCTCGTAACTGCATTTGTAAAAGTTTTCACTCTAAAACTTTTATTATGATTTTTATATAAATATGGTATAATTAAACTAATTTAGGTACTTCCCTAAAGTTTTAATATATATATATATATATATATATATATATATATATATATATATATATATATATATATATATATATATAAAATAAGTTCTTACTATTACATTTTTTATACCGAAATCAATCATATCACAATAGAATTAAATATGGGAATATAATATATCATATTCTATATGTTTTAAATTTTTTTTTTATATTTATTTTTATATTTAATTTGAATGATTATCTAATACATATTCTATCCAAAAGACACTGCATGCAACTCAAACCAAAGCAAACTTGTCGAAATCCTGTTTACACTGCAGCACAGGACATGGTGTGGTGGGCACTGTTTCAAAGAAATTTTACTCCCCGTCATACGGTATCAGATAACATTCCGAGGCACTTTTCCCAAGAAATGAAGTCATCATGATGATACCTTATCACATAACATTCTATGGATGCTGTTCCCGAGAAATTAAATTCTCGTCATGTTGCAACTCGGAACACAGTGTGGGCAATGCCCTTGACAAAATTTAAATGATATATACTGCATGTTACATCCTTTTTCTCATGGTTAGGTGTGGATCATGATGCTGCAGCAGCACACGAAAAAAGGGGCATTGAATGTTGGATATGAAGAGCAGTGGAATTGGTTGTGTCAACAGTGAATGGTTGGACAGAAATCTCATTGCGTTAAAGTTCATCAGCATATCTTCTGTCTGCTCTTCATCATTCAACACAGAAACGTGTGTTGAATGATATATGCAGACGGTGACGGTGGAATTAGAAAAATATTTAAGTATTTAATTATATATAAGTAAATTATTTTTTAAATCTTCATTTAAAAATATTTAAAAATATAAAATATATATTCAAAAGAAAAAAAATATTTAATAAGTTAATTTTATTTAATTAGTTTAAAATGATAAAATTTTTAATTATAAATTCTTTTTAATATTTTAAAATATAATTATTTTATTAAGAAAATTTGATATATAATAAATATTAATAATAAAATTTAAAAAACATAAGATAAAAAATCTAATAAAGATAAATTTGAAATTAAATAATATTAGTTATTATTAATATTTATTTTAGAATATTTATAAAAAGATAAAAAAAGAAAAATTAATTTTGTATTTATCAAATTCATTAAAAATATTGGAAAAATTAAAAAAATAAGAAAAAAGATAATAATATAATAAATTAATTGATATAAGAAATTGAAAATGAGAAAAGAGTGAAAAAAAATATAGAAAAAATAACTTTGTATATAAAGTGAAAAAAATATTAACTTTGTATATAAAGTGAAAAAAATATTTTTAAAATATTAAAATTTTAGGATTTAAATTTAAATGTAAAGATAAAATAAAGACAAGAATAAGTCCATACTACCCTTATTTTTTTTAACGGAAAAGATCTGAATTCTGTGTATTTCAATCTTATAAGGATAGGGAAGGATTAATTCCGCAAGTACGAATTTGATTCTCATCTGACCTTAAAATATAATAATTTTTTTTATCATTAATAGTCTTATTAATCTTAATCTTAGATTAAAAATCTAATAATCTAATTATATTCAAATAATTGCCTTATGCAACGAGATGTACTTAATGAGAAGATCTCTCTTGATTGATCATACGATGTTTACTGATCCTTCATATTCTTAAGATTTTCAAGACAAAGAATCTTAAAAGATTTTTTTTAATATTTTGTCGAGTTATATCTTTCAAATATATAATGTAATAAAAATCACAAATTCTATATTTCAAATAATATAATATATAAGGATATCAAACTTAATTTAAGTTTTCTTATATCAAAATCTATTTATCGTTAAACTACTGTATTATTTTAAATAGCATTCTATTAACATAAAATTGCTCTTCATTTATCTTTTATTTCATTATTTTTTTAGAAAAAAAGAGCTTAACAATATTAACAAAAGTATATAAGGATTAACTTGAGTTATTTTGATCATTCATCCTCCAACCCCAAAAAATATTGGGTTGAGTTAGTCTGATTTTTGTATTTTTTTTATTTAGTCAAATTCAATTCAACCCATGTTTAATCAATCGAGTTGAGTTAATTTAATAACATATTTTTTATTAATTTTTAAAATTTTAAAGTATATCTTATTTTAGAATATTTTCTTAAATTCTAATATTTATTATTTGAATAATTTAATATTTCAAAAATATATATTAATTGATATAATAATTAAATAAATTGAATAATAACTATATTATTATTATTATTATTATTATTATTAAAATTATAATAATTTTAATTCGATAAGTTAAGTTATGTCTCAGGTTAATATACAAAATTTGTTATTTAATTCATAAAAAAATTGATTATATTAAGTTAGATTAAATTTGATTTAATAAATAATAATAATAAAAAAAAACTCATCAAAAGTAAGATAGACTGGGTCAGTTCGTTGATTGTTGATCGATCAACCAAACCCAATTAACCTCGCCAATACTAACGAAGATAAAGCATATAATATTTAAACACATGTCATTTTCAAATACTAAATTAACATTTATGATTTATGGTACTTTTTCTCACTTTCTCTGTCTCCTTTTGTAGGTGTTTGGATGTCTAAATATTATTTTCATATTAACTTCTCTAATTAATAATCTTTATCAGAAACTGCTGCTTATAGTCAGCATTATGATGATCCATCTCACTTGTCTAGAGTTCATTGATGAGGGTTCTGGAGAAAACTTTGGCTTGAGGATTAGTGCCAACATGAGCATGTTTCAGTTTCTCCTTGCATTTAATGATGACTACGAATGTAACTCGATACAGAACAAGCATACCAAACATGATAGCAAGATCAACCCACTTAGAGTAACCCATTTGCACATGCCATGTCTCAGCCAGTATATCTCTACCACTAACACTTTTGCCACCTCCATCTTGATCCTGAGAAAATGTTAAGCCTTCAAATTCATTCTTTAACAATCCTTGGAAAGCATAGGTGAGGAAGGAAACATAGTAAAGAGGGTATTTCCATAATGGTTTGGGAAGATCATTTGGCACTCTATAGAACCCACTTGTTAAAATCATGACTCCTTCAACTCCACCAGCAGTGATCACACCTATCACAAAGTTTGGGAAAATGCTCCCAACAACCATCATAAGGCTCTCGACCCACGTCACAATAGCAAATAGAACAGAAGCAAAGTATAAAAAGTTCTCTACTCCTTTGTGTAGTCCAGAAAGGTAATTAACAATAGCTCCAGGAATCAAAGATATTATTAGTGTGTAAGGAACTGCGGAAAATGTGTTTCCTATGAGAAAAGCTGTTACACCATAGTGGCCATTTAATCTCTCTCGCTTAAACACCTGACACATTAAAAGTGAATAGTTTGTGTAAAATTGTTGGTGTCTAAATAATGTCAAACATTTAATAAGGTTCTGTCATGTTACCTTCATTTCCTCCATTAACGGAGAGAACCCACCAATAAGTGTCATGAAATTCAGAACTGAAACGAAAAAACATAGCAGCGATCCTCGTTCCTGAACCATGGAAAAGGATATATTACCCGCATGACCTTTTCCATCGCCCATATATATATATATATATATATATATATATATATATATATATATATATATTTTACATGAAAAAGTACATCTTACATTAATTAAAAACTTGCAGTTTTACATGTCATGTTTTGTGATTTTAATTTAAAGTTGATATTTTAAACTAAAATAATATGATCAGTAAAAAGAAGTAGCGGAAATAAGATTTTGCTCTCAATAAGTTTACCTGAATTGATCTCATACTTGGGCCAAGGTGATAGAAGATAGAAGCCATGCTTACAGATACTGCGATGAAGACAATTAGACGCAACCAGTAATTGCTTATATCACGATAGATTTGAATCGAAGATCTTTTCAGAAGAACCAGACACTGAGTTCGGAATGCTGCGTGCATCTTCTTCTTCTTCTTCCCTACTGCACCGGAATCCTAGACACATGCATGCAAAGTTATTCAGTTTTGTCATTATATATATTTTAAATCCAACATCCAATACTCATTTTATAATAATAATAATAATAATAAAAAATTTCAAATTTTATATTTATTATTATTATTATTATTATTATTATTATTATTAAATAGAGTTGTAGAGTAGTTGAATGAAAAGGTGTTGGTGGAAGGAATAAATTAAATATGAAACCTACGTTTTCACTTATTTTTACGATTTCATTTTGAACGTGATTTCTATATTCAGACGATTTATAAGAACTGACAAGGATATTGGTTGCTTCTTCGTTGGTAATTCCTTCGTCAGCATCCTGAAAACAAGTCGATAAAGTCAATTTCAGGTGCTCTTTTATTCATTATCCATAATATTCTTAAAGCATTTAAATAAACACTAGAGGAACCAGACTCAAAGTTTGCTCATATAAATACCTGCTTGAAATCTTTGTTTATGATCCTAAGGTAATGATCAGAAGGATTATAGAGAGATGGGCAAGGAAAACCATTTGAAGCAAAAAACTGCATCAAAGGAAGAGTAGCACTATATGTTTATCAGGTAAACTTCATGCCTAAAAGAGATATTTTAGTTACTAACCTGATTTGCATCAGACGCGGGTCCAAAATATACTGTTTCTCCTGAAGAGAGAAGACAAAGATCATGAAAAAGTTGGAAAACCTCACTGCTAGGCTGGTGGATGGAAGCAACAATAGTCCTTTGAATTCCATCCCTTAGATTGAGACTTGCAATTCCACTCATAACATAATAGGAAGCTGCACTATCAAGGCCACTAGTTGGTTCATCAAGGAAGAGGAGTCTTGGATGTGTAAGAATCTCAACGCATATGCTAAGTCTCCTCTTCTGTCCCCCACTCAAACCTTTACAACTCCACCCTCCAACCCTTGTGTTGATGGCATCTTGCAGACCCATTTCTCTGAGTGTAGCATCTGCTCGTTCCTTCTTCTCGGTTTTAGACATGGTGTTTGGAAATTGGAGTTGAGCTGAGTAGTACAAAGTTTCCCCAGCTGTTAAACATGACAGCATAGCATCGTCTTGTGTCACATAGCCCTGATTTCACATTACGAAACAGAGGGGGTTAGTAAAACTCCCTACCAAAAAGTTGCTGGTTATTTTCAGGATCAGTTGCTTTTTAGAATGTTCTTACTGATGTTCCATATGCCAGTTCTTGTTTGTGTCCATTGATTAGAATCTTCCCCGTTTGCTTTATGTTTGATCCCAATCTTCCTGCATCATTGTTTGAACCGTATGATCACAACTGATATATATAATGACTCGCTTCCAACCAACCACACAGCATGCAAAAAGAAACTTCTAGTTTTACTGAACTACAGCCATCAATACAAAACTCCGATGCTTTCTTTTTCTGTTATGTATTAAACTAACTCGAGTATAATCTCGTTCATGTGGAACTAGAATTTACAAAGGTTCGTAAAACCATAACATCCTTTTACAAAATATGTTTCAGTTCAGATACATGTAAAGGTGCCAAACTGCAGTAAAGAAGCTAGAAATGACCTGCTAAAGCATCAAGAAGGGTGGATTTGCCACAGCCAGAAGGACCCATTATAGCCAAAAGCTTCCCTGGTTGAGCGTAACCTGTAAGCCTATGCAGAATTAGTTTACTATTCTTTCCACTGGTAACAGTAGCTTCCAAATTCTCCCATGTCACTGTTATGTCGTTCTCTTCCTCCATATTCATAGTTCTAATCTGAGAACATCCTGATTGTGGAGTGATTTTTTTTATAGAGAAGCAAACCATTGCAATTTAATTAAAATAATATTTTTAAACTGTAAAAGTTATTAATTTCCTTTACTGTTTATTAACTTGGTGGAACCTAATTTTGTATTCGGTATGGAAAGAGTGCCTTCCTTTGCATGAGAGTTATTGTATTGTCTAGTTTATACAGAAGTTGAATCTTTAACAGACAGCTCAAAGAATTGACAAGTACCTCAAATCCATAAATGAGAACACATGTACTCTGCAGGTCTACAAATATTGGTTCGATTTTTCACTGACCCAATAAAAAATGCATTTGAATTTGTTCAATTGTATTTTAATATCAAATTAATTCAATTTTATTTTGATATAAAATCTAAATTAAAACAAACAAAATTTAGCTTTTAATTATTTTTCTTATTATAAAATTGTTAAACATTAAAAAAAACATTTAAAGTTTTTATAATTAAAGATGTTGAATAAAGAGATATGATGTTAATTTATTTATTTTATAATTATTATCATATACATAATTTTAACTTTCTATCCTATTCAATAAATAATTAACATAATTCTATAATTTAAAAAACAATACCATATTATATTTTTATTAGTATAAATATATCATAACTACAATGCAATAATTGTGAAAAAAAAGTATTTTTAAATAAATACAATTAATTCTCAATATTGTTTAATTTGATTGTTGATTTTAAATCCAAAATCTAAACTAAAATATTAAAAAAAAAAATCCAAAGAATTAAAAAAAATAGTTCATCTATTTTTGATTTTTTGTATCCATTTCAGATTTTTTTTAATTAGTTCAATTAAAATATCCCAATAAAATGGATGATGAAGTTCAGATATATTAAGGTATAAAAATAAAAAATATTTTTAAAATTTAAGTTATATTTTATGTAATTTGATAAATAAATTATAATATATATATTATTATTTTAAATTAAAAAATATAATTATTATTTTATGAAACGACAACCTAAGTACTAGACTGAGTTTAGTTTATGTATAGGCATACAACTTAAATGAATAAGAAAACAAAAATAAATGGTGAAATTCAATTTAGATTGTTATTATTTTTTTCCCTCTCATCTATCATGTGTTGCTAGGCTATACAGACCAATTTTGACATATCTTTCAATAACAATGTTTAATTTAGTTTAATTAATTCTTAAATTTTTATATTTTTAAATCAAAATCAGTCTATTGATAAAAAAAAATTGGCAATTAATGCAAAAGCCTATCTGCTCAAAGTTTAAAAATCTCTCTGTAAGAAGTAAATTTTCAGAAATGGAGTTATATACTAAGCCAAAATACATTTTTAAGTCTCTTAAAAATAAATTTTGTAAAATTCTAGAAATTAAATGTTCCCTTTTGTCAATTAATTTACAACAAATGAATTCATTCCAAAATTAAGGTGCTAAAACATAATAAAGCTTAAAATAAGAAATAATAATAAAAACAATAGATTAAAAAAGACATTAGTTAAGAAAAAAAATTTAGAATGCTTTTGTTAAAAAATATTTCCTAAAAATCTTTAAATATATATATATATATATATATATATATATATATTGTTAAAATATCCTTATATTTTGATAAGTTATATTTCTTGTTTAATGAATTTGATTGTAACATAAACATAAATCCTAAATTTTAATGGATTATTCTCCTTTGGAACTAGAATCTTTGGATGAGGGTTCGAGATTATGTTGTTATGTCTATTATATAGCTTGATTCTCATTATACGGGATTTATGGTGATAAATTATAATATTAGATGAGATTTATGGAATCACACCTTAAGGGAGAAAATCGCATCATGATTGAACAGTTGGATCAGTCATAGAACAATTTAATTTCAATATAACAGTACATTAGTTTATCACACAGAAATAAGAAAATAGAGAACAAAGAAAAACAACTCAAACACATCAGTATTATTAATCTGTGTAATGCCTCAACAACTATATATTTTATAAACTAATATGCACACATATATCAATCTATAAGAAAAGTTTTAAAAGAAACAGAATTAACTAACTTTTTTACTAACATTCCTCCTCAAGTCAGGCACAATACATCAACACCACCAATTTTCCCTCTAAGACTTTTGAACTTTCCAAACTTCAAAGTTTTTGTCAAAATGTCAGCAAGTTGTATCTCAGACCTGCAATGCTCAACCTCTAGTTTTCCATTTCAAACTTGCTCATAGATGAAGTGAAATCTGGTCTCAATGTATTTGCTTCTACCATGAGAGGTTAAATGCTTGACAAGATCTATTGCAGATTTGTTATCAATCAGCAACTTCAATTTACATGCTTGTTTTAGCTTCAATTCCTTCATTAGTGAACTTAGCCAAATTGCTTGACAAGCTACTTCAGGATCAGCTATACACTCAGCCTCACAGGATGAGAGAGCCACCACTGATTCTTTTGTAGAGTTCCAAGAAATTGGTGCCTCTCCAAGGAAGAACATGTACTCAACCGTTCTCTTTTTATCACTCTTGTCACACACCAATCAGCATCAAAATACCCCATCAACTCATCATCCCCATTTGACAGCAAAATTCCCAGATTTTCAGTTCCATGTAGGTACATAAGTATGCGCTTCATAACAACAAGGTGTGATACTTTTGGTTCTTGCATATATCTACTCACCAACCCAACACTAAAATTCAAATTTGGTCTAGCGTTACACATATACCTTAAGCTCCAACAATGCTCTGGTATTGTGTAGGATCAACTCTCTCTTCATCAGAAATTTTCTTAAGCTTTAATCCTACTTCTATAGGTGCGTTGGCAAGATTACTTTCCTGTATTCCAAATCTCTTTGGCATATCATGATAATATTCTGTCTGATGCATAGTTATCCCATATGGAGTTTGCTTGAACTCAATACCCAAGAAATAGCTCAGATTTCTCAAGTTACTCATCTTAAACTCTTTTATAAGATCATTCTTGCAACAAGCTATCAATTCTTCATTGCTGCCAGTGATCAAACAATCATCAACGTATAAGCATATGATGATTTTTTTCAACTCTCCTGTTGTTGTCATAGACTTTTACACAGAGTCCATGTCCGGACATACACTTAACAAAACCAATTTTATCAAGAAAATCACTAATCCGCTTGGTCCATGCTCTCGGTGCTTGCTTAAGCCCATATAAGACATTTTTAGCCTATACACTTTATGCTCTTCACTCTTAGGCTCAAACCCACCTAAGGGAGAAAATTGCATCGTGACCGAACCGTTGGATTAGTCACACACAATGATATAAATTATTTGGACATTACACTGTTAATTTCAATGAAACAATACATTGGTTTATTACACAGAAATAAGAAAATAAAGAATAGAGAAAAACAACTCAAAGACATTAGTATTATTAGTCTGTGTAATATCTCAACAACTATATATTTTATGAACTAATATGCACACATATAGAAATATATAAGAAAAGTTTTAAAAGAAAGAAAATTAACTAACTTTTTAACTTGACTATTTACTAACACTCCTTCTCGAGTCAAACATGATACATCAACAACACCATTTTTCCCTCTAAGACTTTTGAACCTTCCAAACTTCAATGCTTTTGTCAAAATGTTAGCAAGTTGTATCTCAGACCTGCAATGCTCAACATCCAGTTTTTCCTTTAAAACTTGCTCACAGATGAAGTGAAATCTGGTCTCAATGCTTGCTTCTACTATGAGAGGCTGGATGCTTAGAAAGATCTTTTGTAAATTTGTTATCAATCAACAACTTCAATTTATATGCTTGCTTTAGCTTCAATTCCTTCATAAGTGAACTCAACTAAATTGCTTGACAAACAACTTCAGAGGTAACTATATACTCAGTCTCACAGGATGAGAGAGCCATCACTTGTAGAACTCTAAGAAATTGGTGCCTCTCCAAGGAAGAACATATACTCAGCCGTTCTCTTTCTATCACTCTTGTCACCACACCAATCAGCATCACAATACCCCTTATCATCCCCATTTGACAGCAAAATTCCCATATTTTCAGTTTCATGTAGGTATATAAGTATGTGCTTCACAGCAAGAAAGTGTGATACTTTTGGTTCTTGCATATATCTACTCACCAACCCAATACTAAAATTCAGATCTGATCTAGTGTTACACAGATACCTCAAGCTTCAAACAATGCTCCAGTATTGTGTAGGATCATCTCTCTCTTCATCAGGAATTTTCTCAAGCTTAATCTTACTTCTACAGGTGCATTGGTAGGGTTACTTTGCTGCATTCCAAAATTTTTTGGCATATCATGATCATACTTTGTCTGATGCATAATTATCCCATATGGAGTTTGCTTGAACTCACTACCCAACAAATAACTCAGATTTCTCAAGTCACTCATCTCAAACTCCTTTAGAAGTTCATTCTTGCAGTAAACTATCAATTCTTTGTTGTCAAACTATCAATTCTTTGTTGTCAGTGATCAAATGATCATCAATGTACAAGCATATGATTATTTTTTCAACTCTGCTATTATTATCATAGACTTTTACATAGAGTACATGTTCGGACATACACTTAAAAAAATCAATTTTGTCAAGAAAATTATCAATCCACTTGTTCCATGCTCTCGGTGCTTGCTTAAGCTCATATAAAACCTTTTTTAGTCTATACACTTTATGCTCTTCACTTTTATACTCAAACCCCCCAAGGAAGAAAATTGCATCGTGACCGAACCGTTGAATCAGTCACACACAACTGTTAGAATATGTTTTATTAGTTGTTTCATTTCTGTCAGGATTTGTGTTTTATTATTTCCTTATCAGCAAATTATAATTGTAGTGTATGGTGGTATCCCTGAATCATAGGGATTTAATTGTCTAGGTGCTATTATTATACTTCCTAAAATAACATTCTAGCCTTGTATATATGAATTGTATTCTCAGAATAATAATATAGCGGATTTTAGCCTAAATTATAAGATGGTAT